CCGACCTCGCTTGTTGGCGTTGCCTGAGCTTTGCAACTATGTGGAGTCGAGATTTACGGGGCATCCGGGCCTCAGCACTTAAGCATGTGAAGGGACGCCCAATATTTCCTAAGTCAAATACACCCAGACACTGCTTCTGTAGCCTCCGATTAGCGACCCAAGTATAGAGTGGGGCCTGGCTTCTGGAAGGTGCAAAAATCGTGGCCTTCTTCTCGGTGGCCTCTGGGTTCCCCCTTTGGGACGCCTCGGAATCCAGCTCCAGCCGCCCTTTTCTGCGCTCTTCCTCCAAATTCGTGGAGCTTAACAGCCACTACCGGGGCTGAGAGATAGGTGAAGTGTGAGGGGGAAGGGATCCCCGCGGGAGCCAGGCCCTGACACTTTATACGCAGGGGTCAACGCCCGGCGAAGGCTCTCCTTCCGCGCCCGCGTCCCGGAGAACCCCCAAGGCGCCGCAGTGTTGGGCGTCCGGGCCGAGCTTCTCCCACCAGGCACGCTGGAGTCCGAGGCCGCGGTTATCGAATAGAACCCCCATCAGCGTGCTTGGCGCAGGGGACTGCCGGGACCCGAGGCCTCACACAGGGTTGCCGAAAGCCCCTCTATTCGTCCGCACCCTCCACAGCCGACCTTGTAAGGATGCTTATTTCCATGCCTAGAAATATCGTATTGACGCGGTGGCTCAGTTATCTTCGCGCCTGCTTTTAAAAAAATGTACCTATTTCACCTCTGCCACGCCGCAGATATTTAAAGGGCTGTAGGCGCCGCACACCTCAACGATGCGGGACTCGCTCTGGCTCTAGGGAATATCTGCCGGGTGGAGATTTGGGCATGAGTTGTACCTCCAGCTCAGATGACACCCAAGCAGGGTCTGTAAAAGGACACTTGCTCTAGAATTTTTCCAGCTTAACTCTAGGTGCACACACGGAGAATTTAAGAGTATTTTATGTCCCTCTCTAGATCTCAGTCTTCAGAGGTGTTGTTACATGCCCTTGAAGTTGGAAGCGATTCGTGGTGTTCACACTGGACGTGGAGCTGTTTGTATAATTTTCATCTCCCTGCACTTACACATGAATCTCGATCTAATAAATTCAACCTTGTCATTTTTAGAATCGACGGGATTTCTCTGGCTGTCGTTTGCGCTGTATTTTCCGAATAGATCCAGCTCGCAGGCATCTGAGAAGAAACGGCTCTTGACTAGCATGTACACGGACGCCTCGGCCCTGCGCGGGACGCGAGGTTGCTCCTCGTGCCTAGGGCGGCTGCGGGTCCTGCCTCCCTGGGAGCGGCACCCCCAGGTCGAGCCGCCTCTCGCTGCCCGGCAGTGCCTGGCATCCCCCACCTCTGCTGGTTACTTCAGAAACCCGCCTGGCCAAGTCCGTCCGCGGCGAAAGCTGAAAGCGAATTCCCCTACAGAGGCAGCCCGAACTTTCCTCGTCGCAAGTTAGCAGCAGAGATTCGGCGGCAGCTCTGGAAGGACAGCGC